TTTTTTTATGGAGGATAATCCTGATGAGTCTCACATCACTACCTCACTCTAAGATCTCCCATGTTGAGGCTTTAAAGGTTTGTGTTAAAATGGAGGATAATCCTTTTTTTAAACATTTTTTAAATAATTTATTTATGTATTCATTTACTTATTTATTTTTTATTTTATATATTTTATTTTATTTATTTATTTATTTTTATTTTTATTTTTAATTTTTTTTATGGAGGATAATCCTGATGAGTCTCACATCACTACCTCACTCTAAGATCTCCCATGTTGAGGCTTTAAAGGTTTGTGTTAAAATGGAGGATAATCCTTTTTTTATTATTTATAAAAAAAATGTATTAATTTATTTTTATTTAATTTATTTAATTTATTTTATTATTTTTTTATTCATTTATTATATTTTTTTATTTATTTTAATTTTTTAAATTTTTATGGAGGATAATCCTGATGAGTCTCACATCACTACCTCACTTTCAAGTGCAAAGCTTAAAAAATATCACCGATATCTCCCCTGATCTGGTCTCTGAGGAGACCCCAGAGGCTGATAGTGTTTGGAAAATGCCCTGCCGACTAATTCTGGCCTTTTTCGTGTCCCACTGTGTTAACGGAATAACCTGCTTCCACTCTGTGTGTCTGTGTGCAGTGGCATTTATCCGTCCTAAACATGGAGAAGAGTTTTTAGCCTTAACTCAGGTTCTTGGAAAAGTATTTACCCCCTCTGGCTTCTTCTGCTTAGATGTGAGAGAAAAACCAGTCCAGTTTAAATTTATTTCCCAGTTCTCAAATTTGTAGACCTGATCGATTTCAAAACTGCTCAAATTCTTTATAAAGCAAGAAATAAATTACTTCCTGCAAACATACAACAATTGTTTACAGATAGAGATCGAAAATATAATCTAAGAGGAAAATTAAATTTCAAAACTAAGTATGTTCGAACAACAAAAAGAAACTTCAGTTTATCAATTAGTGGAGTGAAGCTCTGGAACAGCTTACCTGAAAATATTAAACAATGTAATAGCATCCAGCAATTCAAAAAACAATATAAGAAAAGTATTTTTGATGAATACAAAAAAGAATAATACATAAAAAGTTATACTGTTTGTCTTACTGTAATCGTCCTTTAGCACCACGACTCATGTAACTGAGGGGTGGGGCTTAATAAGCTTACTCCTTTTTGAAACATGATGCATGTTTAGGAAGCATTCTATGTAAAC